ATAGCTGCAACCGCAGCTCCTGCAGCTGTACCTCCATTGCCATTTGCAAGGCTTCTGTGCCAAGAGATTTGTCTCTTATGCTTGCCACACAGGCCTGGGAAATAGTGTGTGCTTGGTGCAGGCTTCTGAGTCGTTCTGAGTATTTGGGCTCTGAGATGATCAACAAAAAGGTTCATCTTTGCTTTCTCAAATGCCTTGCAAAATAAGGCAGGAGGTCGATGGACATTTGGGTGTTTATTGGACAGATGAAAGAAAGATGGATGGGTGGATAAAATGGATGGATGGATGGATAGACATTCTCAATATTATCCTTAAGGACTCATCGTTGATCAAGCACTTACTCTATCTAATACCCCCTCATTTTCTTATTGCTCTATCTGCTGCTCTCCTGTATTTGCTTTCAGATTGGTTCTGAATCTCAACCTTCCACTTCATCTCCAGCAGACCTTCTTAAATCTTACCCTGCTTTTCACAACAGCCTGGCTAACTCCACTCCCCACCCGCCCACCCCCATCCCCCACCCAGTGCCATTTCTTCTTCTTGGCTATGGCTAGGATCATTTTCCTTAAAGAACTGACCATGTCACTGTCTGCCATGTCCCTTCTTCCTCCGCTTCCCATTTGCCTTCAAGATTTAAAAAAAAATCAGAGATAAGATCTAGAATCCTACAAGATAGAGCTCCAGATTGCTTATCCATCCACCCCTCCTTCAGTGCTCCCAAGCCCTCTACTGCAAACACACCAGAACTCTTGCCATGAAATATGAACCCATTGTCGCACTGCATTTCCTGACTCCATAAAAACTGGTCCAGTGCCACGCCTTCTTTCTGAACCTCCCTTGTTTCCCCCAATGAAAGCAAACGTGGCCAGCTGTCGTAAAGCACACTTGTAATCCCAGCACTGAGAAGGCTGAAGTAGGAGGATCACAAACTTGTCTGGCTTTGACTATATACATAGCAAAACCTTGTCTCCACGCAAGTAAAATGAATAGATGGAAAAGATTAAGATACATAAAAGGGAGGCTGGTTATAAAGATGTAAGGGCGGTGATAGTATAAGACATCAGTGTGGAGATCATTTTTCTGTGCCTTTATAATATTGTTCTCCCTACCTGTTTGACCCTTCAAGGCCCAGCTGAGCTCTGCTGTGGTTATTTATTATTGAGCCTATGGAGTTAAGACACTTTGTTTTGGAGGTTCCCACAATCCTGTGGAATATGTGGTCTGATCTGATTGCAAGATCCTTCCACACAAAGGCAATGTCTTTTGTTTTAGCCTACGCTGTGCCCTGTTATATAATAGAAGCGTTGCTCAAAACCCATTTGTGAACAGGCCATTGGGACAGTCCGGTGGTAGGCTCTGTTATGACGCAGTTCCTGGAGAGCTCACAGCGCTGAAGGTCTGAGGCAGACAGAAGCACACAGCAGGAGCCTCAGTAGAAGGCGGCATCAGGACACTGAGTGTGGCCAGCCTTTTCACAGAGCGAATCATAGCAAAGGCAGAGAAGCCCTCCCACTGAACGGATATCTGAGTCAAGTCCTAGAGCGTACATGTTTTCACTTTCCCACATGTTCATTATGTCTGCCCTGCTCCCCTCATACTCCATAGTACTATTGAGTGGCCAAGGGCAGAAGACCAGAGAGTTCTTAAGCTTTGGCTAGTGGTTCCCAGAAGATAATCTAATGAACAGATAGTAGCCAGGCACTGGTGGCTCACAGCCTGTCATTCCAGCTACTCTGGAGGCTGAGATCTGGAGAACCATAGTTCAAAACCACCCCAAGGAAAAGAAAGTTCACACAGCTCTATCTCTAAAACAGCCAGCAAAAAGCCCAGCTAAAGGCATTGCTCAAGTTAGATCACTGGCAGAGAAAGCACAAGACCTTAAACTCTAACCTCAGTACCAGCAGGATAAAAAAGGACAGTTTGTTTTTTTCCCCGGAATGTAATTTTGATGAATATTTCTAGTTTTGCTTCCAAAACCTGGAGCCTGTAAATTGCCAACAAATCAGCAGATCTTTGAAGCCGAAAACAAACTACTCCATGAAGACAGAAGTTTGACAACTATAAAGATATAAGAGCTTTTATGTTTTCACTTAACAATCAGAGAAGAGATGTACGTTAAAATATAAATAGCTGGGATGTACAGATGAAAATAAACAATACTGAACCACGATTTACCAGTGTTCTGCGGTATGACGTGTAGAGGAATTGAAAAACGGAGAGTTTGGAATTGCTTGTCTGTTGGTGCTGTGGTTTCGACTTAGGACCTCTTTCTTGCTAGACAGACACTCTGCCACCTTAGTGATACCAGCCAGGTGATTTTTGCTTTAATTATTGTTTTATATTGTTCCCATCATCTTGTGTTCTATTTCAGAAGTTGGCCTCAGATCATCTTCTTGTACCTTTCAAATGCCTGAGATTACAGGCATGTACTACCCTGCCTGGTACTATAGGAATTTTTTTTTAAGGAAGTACTTTGTGTTATGATAGACAATGAAAGTCTACACATGCTCAATAAAGTATGACCATCATCTTGTAAGTTAACCTTTTACATCATCTTCTACTCTCTCCCCTGTTTTGATGAGGGAAAAAACTAACAAATGTTGGAAGAGCTTCTTTTGGTGACACTGATTGCTTGAGTCACATCTCTGTTCTATGTCCATTGGAAGCATCAGATTGCTTCCACCAAGACAAACTATACAGCATGTGCTAACAGTGATCAACATGGTTGGCTTCCATTCAGTGTTTTTGGGGTGCCAGTGAACCAGTGAAGGAGTGGGATTTAGAAATTTCACTCATATCCTAACTGACATTTCTCATTGTCTGTATCACTGAAACTCAATTGAGTTCCTATCACATACAATCAGAAAAACTTAGAGACATAAAGACAAGAAACCCAATGACTGTTCTCAGGACTGTCCTGGGAAAACAAAAGAGAGCCATTTTAAGGGGTAAAAAAATAGAATTTGCATTTGAAAGGATACAACCGGAAAACACAAGAAAAATCCCATTTCTGCATGAGCCAAGAAGTGACTGGGCAAAAGATTCCCTCTTCTTCATTCCACACACACCCCACACACCAAACTACCAGGTATTTGGGTGACTCAAGCTGTCCCTGTCTCCGGATGTTCAAACAGCAGATGGCACAAAGGAAGGCCTCCTGCTGGCTTCTCCAGCTTCTGGGGCCTCACCAGAGCCCTGCAGAAAAGCTCTTCTCTCTGACTCTCTCACTCCACTTTTACACACCAAATGCAAACTGATCAAATGCAAGATAAAATACAACTCATCTGGAACAAACTACTCCAAAAACAACACAACAGTATTGTGTTTGTCTCCACTTTTTAGAAGCATAATCATATCCTCATTTATAACTTTTTTCATCCAGGTGTTATTGTAGAGGTGGTATACACGGGGGCTACAGTTACACAAGTCAGGTAGTGAGGACATTTCTTTTGGAACAGTGTCACCACTTCCCTCCTTGTCTCCCAGTTTTCCTTCCTTGCCCCCCTCCTCCATAAGTTATATAGTTCATTTTCAACATAGTGTCTAGTGAGTACCACTGCTGCACTTGTTCACCCTTTTTTCCACCATTTCTGTGCTTCCCCGTGCCCTCCCCAAATCAGATAACCTTATATATAAGATAAAAGGTACCGGAGTGAAAAAAGCAACAAAAGAGAAAACAAACAAAAACAAAGCAAAAAAAACAAAAAATAACTCTTTTTCCATTTCCTTGAGTTCATTTCGATCAACATCATTTTATACGATCATATGCATGTAGCTATCGAGCATTTGTGATCCTCTCCCAAGAATATCCTTCTTTGGTCTCACTGTGTGAATGTTTAGAGTCCTGTATAATTTATCATGTCCATGTGTAAAGGGAAAAATAGTATATAATAAGTTAAGAAAGTTGAATGTAATAGCTCCATGACTCAACTCAAGGGAGGCTGGGAAAATGGCTCAGTGGTAGAGTGCGTGCCTTGCATGTATGTATGAGGCCCTGAGTTCAATTCCTCAGCACCACATATGCAGAAAAAAGCCAGAAGTGGCGGCGCTGTGGCTCAAGTGGTAGAGAGCTGGCCTTGAGCTAGGGACAGTGCCCAGACCCAGGGTTCAGGCCCTATGACGGACCAAAAAAAAAAAAATCAACTCAAGGGCCCATATTATTTCATCTATTATTCTGTTCTTATTGGTGTAAGATGGATGCATGGTCTAAAAGCAAATCTACCTGACGAGTGTCATCTGCAAAGTGTGATTCTATCTCGGTCCTTCTAATCTGTTCCTTCATTCCTATAATCTTTTCTTTCTGAGCTCATCATTATTATAATCTTGTCTGTGAAAGATAAACACATTTTTAAGATGGGCAAATATATTTATATGTAAACTTTCTACATATGCAATTAAATGAGATCTTAATAGGCTTCAAAACATTTTAAACTATTTAGACAGTATGCAGTAGGATTTTTAATAGATATTCAGGCCAAAATCGAACAAGATACTTTTACGAAAGGGGTAATTTTCATCAAGATGCCTTGTACTTATAAACTGATCAGTTGAATGGTAGCCCCTTTGTAGAACTACTTAAATGCAATAAAACTACTTTTCAAACCAATAAGGTAAAAAAAAAAGTTCATGTATCTTTAAAGAAAGGCATTATTTGAACATTTTACAACATGAAAAAATCTCATAGCTGTCATCCAACAGGGAGAGGCAAGAGGAGGAACATTGATCAAAAGACTGCAAATTTTGAAAATGCAGAAAGCAGAATGGTGGGTTTGGGGCACACCTGCGCTATATAGCATGGTTAACGGTAACCTGGACTAAGTAGTAGGGCCCTGTCTAAAAAAAAAAGAGGGTGGGGGAGTTCAGAGATTTTACGAGAGATTGTGCTGTGAAATGTTAAAGTTGTTCCAGTGCCATTAGAAAATCTCCAGAGCACATTCCTGTAGTGAACTTCTTAGCATGATTTCAGTTACAAGCCTTCAAATTGATATGCTTTCTCCTAGATCGAATTGCACAAAACATCATCAAGTCCCACCTGGAGACCTGTCAGTACACCATGGAGGAGCTGCACCAGCTGGCGTGGCAGACTCACACCTATGAGGAGATTAAGGCGTATCAAAGCAAGGTACTCTGCAACACAACCAGACTCTCCTCTGTAATCCACTCATATCCGCCACCTTCAATCTCAGCCCCAGGGATATCTTAGTCCACGTCACTCCTGGGTACCATACAGGGCTTAGTGAAAGGCACTGTCTGACTGACCTCCCAGAGATAGTGTGCCTTCCTCACATGGTCTTAATATAGTTCATGCTGGCTTCTTGAGCCCCTGTGCGTTAACCTTCTCTAACACACACACACACACACACACACACATACACACACACACACACACACACACAGGAAAGGAAATATTCTAAATTTTTATTCTTTCCCTACCCACTGAAAAGGACACAAGAAATAAAAACTCTCATGCTATTATTAGTGGCAACATTTCTGCATATACAAGGGAGAATTCGTAAAGGGAAGTAGTTGCTTCTTGTTTGATGTTCCTATTTCCTGACTTCAGGATTGAAATTCTTAATGATAAGATCAACCAATGAGTGGAATGGGCGGGGGAGGAAGGAGTTTTCTTGTGTGCCAGTATTGGGACTTGAAATCAGTGCCTGGGCACTGTCCCTGAGCTTTTTTTTGCTCAAAGCTAGTGCCCTGCCACTGAATCATAGCACCACTTCTGGCTTTATCTAAGTAGTGTATTTAAGATGAGAGTCTCACAGACTTTCCTACCCTGGCTGGCTTCAAACCATGATCCCCAGATTTCAGCCTGAGTAGTTAGGATTACAGGTGTGAGCCACTGGCACCCAAGTTCAGTGGAATTTTTTAAAAATCAGATATATAAATATATGTGTATCTAAATGTATGGCTTACATATCATACTGATTTTTCTCTCACAGAACAACAAGCTTTATTACTATTATATAAACATGGATGTGGAGGTAGAGATATTTCTGTGGTGAATAAAAAGCAGAACCCATACAACATGGATTTAAGGTTCTCAGGTCAAATAGAAGAAGCCCAAGAACTAAAATACATTTATATTCTATATTATTCTATAGTATAATGGGAGTAAATGCTATATTATTCATGAGAGTGATTTCATTTCATGGGATGCCCTTTCCTTTGGAAGAATTCTGAGCTGGGTGCCGCTGGCTCACACCTGTAATCCTAGCTACTCAGGAGGCTGAGATCTGAGGATCACAGTTCAAAGCCAGCCAGAAAAGGAAAGTCTATGAGACTCTTATCTCCAATGAACTTCCAGAAAACTGGAAGTGGAGCTGTGGCTCAAAGTGATAGAACACTGGCCTTGAAATAAAAGGCTCAAGGACAGTGCCTAGTCCTGAGTTCCAGCTCCACAACCAACCAACCCACAAATAAATAAATAAATAAAATATTAAAGTTTAAAGGCCACCCAGGACCCATGAAAATGACATTCTTTAAGGCCATGAATGAAATCATGTTTTTATCTAATAGATTAGGAAACTGAATTTGTTTGGGTGAAAAGAAGGAAAAAGTAGTAAAATAAATAACTATTTTAAACAATACTTCAATGGTTGGATGCCAGGCTCCATTGGTAGAGCGCTAGCCAATGAGTGAAAGCCTTAGGTACTGAGGTCAATTCCCAGACTCAGGCCAAAAAGGGAGGGGGGGCGGAGAAAGAGAGACAGAGAGAGAGAGGGAAGCAATAATACTTCTATTAATTTTGCCTTAGTATTTTGGCAATGGTGGTGTATTGAGATTCAGACAGGTCAGAACATAAACATAAAAGAAAACATTGCTCTGAACATTTAACAGAATCACTTACTTTCCCACCTTAGGCCCCAAGTGGCAGGTGAGCCTTGTGAGGTATCACTGACTATGTCTTCAACTCTCTGTGGCACTTCTGACTGTTCCCACTCTGTCTTCTCTCCAGTCCAGGGAAGCTTTGTGGCAGCAGTGTGCCATCCAGATCACTCACGCCATCCAGTACGTGGTTGAGTTTGCAAAGCGGATCACAGGCTTCATGGAGCTCTGTCAGAATGACCAGATTCTACTTCTGAAGTCAGGTGAGCAGAAGTCTCATGGGGCCTTTATTTTAAACCCAAATGTGTTTGATCCTTAGCTTTCTAACAATTCCAGAATCTCCTTCTTCCAACAGGTAGCTAGATCTCATTTTTGCCATCCACATTGTCAGCTAAGTCCCAAAGGAAACTCTTAGTGTGCATTCATTTTCCCCCTTTGAAGTCAAATACAGTTTTGCTTATTGAAAGTAGACCTATTAATTGTGGAGGCTGCGATACCCAGCTTGACGGGCTGTGCAAATAATTAGCGTGTCAAGGTGGCTGAGTTGCCGAGCTGGCACTAAGGCCTGCTCCTTGCCTTCTGTGAAAGGAAACAATTCAGGCTGGCTGAGCGCCGCCACTGCGGTCATTTCCAATCCCTTTAATGAGGATAGCCTGCAGCTATGATGCTCCGGAACTTTACCAACTTCATCTTTCTTCCTTCCCTCCTCTCATACACCCTCTAACCCACAAGCACTCACTTTGGAAGTATCCCATGAAAATCTACATGTAGTTGACTTTGCAGATACCATTCCCTTTCTAGATTCCTTTGAAAACAGAAAATTATGCCCTGTGCCAATGGTTTACACCTATAATTCTAGCTACCCAAGAGGCTGAGATCTGAGGATTCTGGTTTGAAGTCAGACAAGGCAGGAATCTCTAATAAACCAACAAAAAGCTGGAAATGGAGCTGTAGCTTAAGTGGTAAAGGACCAGTCTAACCAAAAAAGCTATGGATAGTACTCAGGCCCTGAGTTCAAACCCAGTACAAACAAGAAAGACAGAGACAGCGACGGAGACAGATGGAAGGAAGGAGGGAAGAAAGGAAGGAAGGAAGGAGAGATGGAAAGAAAGGAAGGAAGAAAGAAAGAAAGAAAGAAAGAAAGAAAGAAAGAAAGAAAGAAAGAAAGAAAGAAAGGATACTGTGGTGTATGAGTTACTCTTTGGTCATAGTTCATAGTAATAGTAATAATAATAATCTTTTTACATAAAATAATATGCACACATATTTTCATTTGATATCTCATTTAACCTCATGAGCTAATTACTTTCCCATCTTAAAGCAAAGGGAGGCAAGGATTTATAGAAGTAAAAAAAGTAATGTCCAAGTTAGGATACAGTAAACCCACCAATACAACCATGTTCATTGCAACACTATTCACCATAGCTAAGGTATGATATCAGACCAGATGGCCCTCAATAGACAAATGGATCAAGAAAATGTGATATATATATACATAGATATATAGATAGATATAGATATATATATAGACACACACACACACACACAAGGGAATTTTACTCATCAATTAGAAGGAATGACATTGCATTTGCAAAGGATGTGGAAAGATGGAAGGATGTGGAAAAAATTAAGTGAAGTAAATCAAGCTCAGAAATATAAAGATTAGGGCTGGGAAGGTGGCTCAGTGGTAGAGCACTTGCCTTGCATGCATGAGGCCCTGGGTTCGATTCCTCAGCACCACATAAACAAAAAGAAAAAAGCCGGAAGTGGTGCTGTGGCTCAAGTGGTAGATCGCTAGCCTTGAACTGAAGAGCTGAGGGACAGCGCCCAGGCCCAGAGTTCAGGCCCCATGACCGGACCCCCCCACAAAAAAAAAAAGAAAAACAAAGATTACATGTTTTCTCTCATACAGGAAAACTAGAATTAATTTTTAAATATATAAGTAAATACTTCAGATGGTATGCAAGTGTACCCAAATGTACCAACTACAATATAGTCCATTCAGGGGAGCTCTCAAATAGTGTAGTTTCTTAGAAAGGTTAAATCCAAGTTCAACAAAATAAACACCAGGAGATAGGTACTTAAGAGGTGGGTGGGTTCAAGGGAAGGGGAACAGACAAATGAAGAAGGGAGAGAGAATGCAGTCAAGAATTCAATGTATTCATTAAGAAGAGGGAGGGAAAGGATACCTAGGGGAGGGATGGTTGAGAAGTTTGATATTGATCTAGATCTGTAGTATTCATAAACTGCTTTGTTGAATGACAGATCCTTTGTACAACTACTTAAAGATAATAAAAGTTTTTAAAGGTCTATATTATAAATGCCATACCAATGAAATAGCTTAATGGTTTTTTTAAAAAAAAGAGAGATTATGATATCAAAAAGCCAATTCATTGCTGGCCTTTGGACTGGAGCTACATACTACAATTATTCTGAGATTTGCTGTTTCTTTACTCAATGATGCAGACATTTATAACTATGACTCAAGCACTAATTTGAGTGTCATCAGTGATCTAGCTACCTTAAAATTAATTAAAACAAGAGTCATTTACTTTGCTGACCAAACTCGGTACAGGGATGGTTTATAATTGCTGCTCCAAGGCCTCTCCCAGTGTTCACGGAGGAGACACCCTTGGGAGCCAAATGCTCCATTTTCAAATATCCTTCCTGACATGGCTGGACAGCCGGGAAAGTTGACAGCCTGGAGTTCTGCCAAAGCTCTGGGACGGGGTCTCTATTGCTCTCCACGTGGGTCCAAGTCTGCCTCGAGTTCCTACAGCAGAGTCACTGGGCTTCCCAAAGCACAGGCAGAAGTCTGTAGACTTCTCTCAGCTGTTTCTTCCACCACACATCTCAGTCAGCAGACTCACAAAGTCCAGCTTGGGTTCAAGAGTAGCAGACACAGATTCGACTTTCCCCATGGAAGCAGAGAAAGGCCTAGCAAAGCATGTGACATGGAAGCTATTTTTTCATTTAATTTTATTGTCAAAGTGAGGTACAGAGGGGTTACAGTTCCATACGCAAGGCAGTGAGTACATTTCTTGTCAAACATTGTTACCCTCTTCCTCTTTTTTCTCCCACTTTCCCTCCCCCACAGACCCCTCCCAGGTTGTAAAGTTCACTTCCAATGTATTGTTGCATTGGTTCACCCTTTGTCCTCTGTCTCCCCATTTTATTGTTCCCTTTCCCTTCTCCAAATCAGATAAACATATATACAAAACACAGAGTACCAAAATCCACTACAGTGACAACAGGAGATAAACCATGGGGGACAAGAACAATGAAAGAAAAAGAAAAAAAGAAATAACTTCACATAGTACACCAAAAGCAATAACACCAAAGAAAAATCCTTTAGCTTCCATATCTTGGAGATCATTTTGCTTAGCATCATCTTATGGTCATACCAGTCTTTTCCAGGTCAGGCTGGATAAGATTTTACAAGGCTATGTATTATAGAAAGAATGTCACCCAAGAGTCTTAGGTTTTGCAAATGCAAAGCAGTCGTTCACCAGCAGTCAGCTGTGAGTGATGGAGTCAAGCAGGAGTCCAGTCCACTTGGACCACGGTGGACATAGTCAGAAGGGTCCAGGCAGGAGGAATCTGGGGTAGGCTGCAGTCTCCCAGCCTGCTGTGGATGGACTGTCACCCCTCCTGCTGGGAGATCTGCATATTTCCACACAGACTGGCTAAAGACATTTGAAATCCAGTACTTTCCTGGTTGCTTTCTCTGAGTGCACTGGCTTCCACAGATACACTTTAGCTGGACATAAAGAACAACAAGCTGGTTTTACAACAGTGTTTAAATTACAGCCAACTTAGCTACCTACCAATTTTAATAGGCTTTTTCTTGTAAGAACTTAAGACATGCTCATACCATCTGCTACCCACTAGGACCTTCTGGGGTTTGTATTAATTTCTATCTTTTTTCCATTTTGGAACAAACTTTTCAGACAATTCTTACTTCCCAAATCCTTTCTTATCCAAAGGAAACCTTTTTTTTTCCCCTCAATTCCCTTTTTCCAAGGCTTTCTTCATTAAAATTCCTCTTCCTTTACATTTCCTTAACTCCTTGCTGACTTTTTAAATTGCGTTTTGAATTAACTCCTAGAAAACTTTTGAACTCAAATGACAGTGTTTCTTAATGTGAGGTAATAATCCTTAGACACATTTTTTTTGCAAGCCAATATTTCCCATTTGGTTTTAAAGAGGAGAGAACAGGAACATTCCATGTAGATTGGCGGGCACTGAACTAGGAGTCCACACTGAAAAAACTTGAGGAATCTCAGACCATTTTTCTTATTTTACATAAAACATCTAATTGCAAAATAGTATTGGAACTTAAAGTTCCATTTTAGGCCATGGTACACATGCTAACTTACATTGAGACCAAATTAAATTACACACAGAGAATGAAAAAAAGAAACCTTCAATAGTGGGGAGGACTGAAATTAGAAAAACTTTAAGTCCTCAAGAGGCTTATATTTTGCTAAGCCAAATGACTTGGTTGGGCCTCAGTTTCCAAGGCCTGTGACAAGAGGAAGCTTCGTTTGCAAGGCACATTATCAGGATGGTGTGGAGTTTCTTAAAGTAAGTAAACAAGCAAGCAGACAGGCAAGAGAGGGAGAGAAAGAGGAAGAGAGGAAAAGAGAAAGAGGGAGAGAGAAAGGAAGAGAGAGATATCTGAGAGGTATGAGTCAAGAGATGGGCAGAGAGAACAGAGAAAAAGAGATGGCTAGAAGGCTTAGGAGACAGGAGACAAAGGAGAGAAAGAGACATGAGACAAAAAAAGACAGGAGAAAAATAAAATTGGTCCCACTTCGTAGGACCTTAAATGAACCTTCTAGATGGTAGCTTCCTTGTCTGTGCAATAAAGACATGATCTAGAAATAATAAGTTCTCAAATTAAAATAGCATCAGAAGCAGCAAAAGAGTTTATTGACAACTCAGAAAATCAGACACAGCACAGACCATCGACTTCACATCTACCCAAGAGAATCCAGTTCATTATACTCCTAAGACCCAGATATCACCAATCCAGACACTGACCACTGGTGGGCCCATTGCAACAAGGAGATGTACAAGACATCATGTCGAAAACGAACAATGCTTGATAAGAAATGTACTCATGACCTTGCTCCTGTAATTGTAACCCCTCTATGGTATTTTCACAATTAACCAAAAAACCAAATTCATAATCTTTAACACCTCTGTTTGCAGCAAAAATATTAGCTGCTAGTCAGGCACTAGTAGCTCATTGCTGTAATCCTAGCTATTCAGGAGGCTGAGACCTGAGGATCATGGTTCCAAGCCAGCCTGAGCAGGAAAGATCTACAATTAACCAAAAAAAAAAATAAAACAGAAGTGGAACTGTGGTTCAAAGTGGTGGAGTCCTGACATTGAACACAAAAGCTCAGTGACCATTCTGAGGCCTGAGTTCAAGCCCCAAGATGGGCACACACACACACACACACACACACACACACACACACACGCCCACAAATGGCTAATAAAAGTCACCTAAAACGACTATTGCAAGGAATAAATAAAATAATGAATGTAAGGGGCAAAGCTTTCCATAGTGTAGATATACCAGTGAATGGTATCTCTCTGTTGATGTCAGAAAAGTGTTATTTCGGTTCCTCTTTGCAAATCCTCTCCTATGTATAATCCTATATACCAGAGAAAGAAACTGGCAGAGCAAAGGAAGTAAAACAGAGACATAAATATAAATTAGTGGCATAAGAGAAGCAGCAAAGAAGTAGTTTAATCACCAGTAGGATACCCACATGGAATCCATCATATTGCAATAACAATGGGACAATAGCCAATTCCTCCAAAATGTGAAGAAACTATACAGCAGTAGTTGCTCAAAATGCCAATAACTGTCTGGAGGGAGAAAAAATAGATGCATACAGTCATTCGATAAATATTTTTAAGCATGTCCTATACACCAGAGAGCTTTCTTAGTGGCAGAGATGTTGAAGTGAACACTCTGGCTGTAAATAGCTGCTCTCATTTGGCTGGTAGTGAATACAAGCGAAGAATAAAAAAAATAGAGAAAGCTTGGTTCACCACGGTTAATCACGTCCTTCAGGTCAGGACTTCTCAGAGCCTTTGATCTATAAATATTGGTTATCATTCTCTGCAGTGAGATCATTCAGTATTGGTCAAAACATATTTGACTAAGAAACCTGAATTTCAAAGAGTCTCCAAGGCGAATGAGGCTCCCAGGGAATACCCCCAAAAGTCCTGTGTCTATTGCCACCCCCTACTGAAATATGCAAGTTTGTGAGAAACTCCATGCAGCAAAGAAGCAGAAAGCAGGGGTCCCAGAAGCAAACCTTTTACAAAAGTTAACAGGCAGACCATTCAGCTGAGCCATTTATCACCTTTCTGAGCCCATGTATCATCCATTGTGAACCGGTGACGTTCATCAAGATGCATTTTGCTTATAAAATGGCATGCTAAATGGAAACATCTTTTTTTTTGGGGGGAGTCCAGTCATGGGGCCTGAACTCTGGGCCTGGGCGCTGTCCCTCAGCTCTTCAGCTCAAGGCTAGTGCTCTACCACTTGAGCCACAGCGCCACTTCCGGCTTTTTTCTCTTAGCCTATGTGGTGCTGAGGAATCGAACCCAGGGCCTCAGGCATGCAAGGCAAGCGCTCTACCACTGAGCCACCTTCCCAGCCCCATGGAAACATCTTTGTACAGTACTAAAATATAAAAAAAAATGAAAAAGGAATTGAACATTAGTCAAAAACAGAAATGTTTTCCTAACCAACCTAGAAAAAATATGATGTTAAGTGAAATAATTCAGGCTCAGAAAGACAAAGTCTATGTGTTTCCTCTTAAGTGGAAGTTAGAGCTAAATTATAAACATGCATGAATATATATATACACAGAGTCATATGCATATGTACAGAAACATATTGTCTAAAGTATGGTATTTTCATGGGAAGAATGCACTGGTATAATTCCTTCATACAACTAGGAAATAAATACCAGGAAGCTGAAATATGAGTTGGAGGAGGGGGAGGAGGTCAAGGGAGGATGGGCTGAGGCGGGGGAAGGCAGACAAACGGAGAGAAGAAAGGTGGGTGGATGCAATCGTAATATTCAATGTGTGTATGGTGAACATAGGTCCAGGTAAATTGAGGGGATATGGGGGAGGGGAATTAAGAGATAAGGGGGAGGGCAATCAAGGGGTGACATTGATTCAGATGCATTGTACTCACAAACTGTTATGTTGAATTGAAACCCCTTTGTACAACTAGATAGATAGATAGATAGATAGATAGATAGATAGATAGATAGATAGATAGATAGATAGATAGATAGATAGATAGATAGATAGTCTTTCCTGACCAGTGTCATTGTGCCTTCCATTTCTGTCAGCTTTAAGGTAGATTTTCTCTTTAATTCTTTACCTAAGTATCAAGACAGCTTTATTTCTAAAATAGAGCTTTATGGGGAGAAACGGAGAAGTCTCAGTGCCTTTCTCTCCCTCCCTTTGTTCTCTCCCTCTGTTCCCTCCCTCTCTCTCCCTCCCTCTCTCTCTCCCTCCCTCTCTCTCTCTCCCTCCCTTCCTCTCTCTCTCCCTCCCTCCCTCTCTCTCCCTCTTGCCTTGTATGTACCAATGACCACTTTATTACTGGGTATATATACATGTTTTTGATCTGTTTAACCCCTAGGTTGTTTGGAAGTGGTTTTGGTGAGAATGTGCCGTGCCTTCAATCCATTAAACAACACTGTCCTGTTTGAAGGAAAATATGGAGGAATGCAAATGTTCAAAGCCTTAGGTAAGTTTCCCCTTGATGATGACACAATTAGCTACCATCTGCTTCTCCACTTAGGCTGAAATCGCCAAATGAAATGCCTTGATTCCTTGATATGAACTAGTATCTCATTACTGAATCAGAGATGGACGAGGTAGGCCTCCAATGTATCATTTAACTCTATGGATCCTAGAAGTGTGGCTTCTAATCAGAAAGGAAAAAAAGAGACATGTAAATAAGCAAACCCTGTTGCTCAAATAACTGGCACGGCATGGTAAGTCATTCGTTGTACGATCAATTTTTCTTGGCTATTTGTGTTTGTTGGGGTTATTTTTTCTCTTTTCTTTCTTTTTTTTTATTGTGCTGGTATTAGGGCTTGAACTTGGGGCCTGGGTGCTGTCCCTTAGTTTGTATGGCTCAAGGCTGATGCTCTACCGCTTGAGTCATAGCTCTACATCTGGATTTTTGGTGGTTAAATAGAAATAAGAGTCTTAGGGGCTTCCCTGCCCAGGACTCATATCTCAGCCTCTTGAACAGTTAGAAGTACAGGCATGAGAGCCAGTATCTGGCATCTGGTATGTATTTTGTGACATCACACCAAGTAGCCCATGCTAGCCTTGAGGTTTTCCATAAGGTCAGGAAGTTCACACAAACAGAACTGGTACTGACGTGACCAGGGAGGCTCTGGCAGAGGTAGTCCTTGATTGGACATGTGTGGTGTGATCCTCTATAATCTGCAGTGTGTCGTGCATAGACAGAATGACAGCAAAAATGGTCCAAGGCCAAGAAAGGTTTTAGTGTTTGATTAGGCCATTTGCTCCATATCCTGCTCATGGACACTGAAGAAGCCACTGCCCTTTGACCTCTTGTGCTGTTAGCTGATCTGGCCACCAGCAGCCAAGCCACTGGGGCTGGTGATGCTCCCTTCCGCAGCTGATACGCATCCATGTCATCCTAGACTTTCAGGAATGGCGGAAAAGCCTTGGCAAGCAAACTCAGTATATTTCCAGCCTCATCAAATAAACATCAACCAGGGATCAGTGTTATTTTTGCCAAAATTCACAATGGCTAAGCAACTGCCCGGTGAGCATCATTCATTCGAAGGTAGAGATAAATCACTTCTACTGCCCTCAAAAAATGTAAAGGGAACTCACCAGATGGAGCCATAGCTCAATCTGTAAGAAGCCTTTTTACAACTCGGTTTGAAGCCCCTGGAAACCTTGTACCACTCATACCAGTAGTCCTCAGCCTCCATGTGTACTGTTTTAGGTTTTCTGTGAAGGCTAGCTCTGTTCCCATTTACTCACATGCTTTACCTGGAAATTCCATCAGATACGCCCAGCCAGATGTTACCCTGAAAACTTACTGTGTCTGCACCTTAATCACTCAAGCTAACTTCAGACCCAGATCTGAGGTTGGGCTTCATTTCCTCATTCTGGAATTCACCTCCAGACACATTCTGAAGGCTAAGAGCATTAGAAATGTCTTTGCTAAATATCTAGTATGAAAAAAATCTGTGACTAACTTATTGATAGTAAGACTTTTCTTACTGTTGCTCTAATTCCAAGTATTTCTGGCTAATTGTTCTTCTTCTTTTATAGGTTCTGATGACCTAGTGAATGAAGCATTTGACTTTGCAAAGAATCTGTGTTCCTTGCAGCTGACTGAAGAGGAGATTGCTTTGTTCTCCTCTGCTGTTCTGATATCTCCAGGTAGGGGGACCATGGGTCTCTTACCTTCTTTTAAAACCTGCTTTACTATCTTTAACATCAATTACACCCACCCACGCCAAAGTGTTCAGGAGAAACTTTAAAAGAACTCTATTTTCTCTAGAAAGCTTTTGATATTTTTGGACAATGTCAAGGGAAGTAACCTCAAGTTTATCAAAATGACCAGTTTTGCTCCAAAGCAAAAGGGGAGTATGTGCTAGGGATGGCTTCAGACCCCAATGAACCCAATTGTTCCTGAAAAAGCAAGCAAAGACCGATGGCCCAAGTAACAGCTAATTAAGGTTCCTCTGTTTGACTTTAAGAATAAAGGACAGAAAACTGGGTGCTGGCGGATCATGATTGCAATCCTAGCTACTCAGGGGGCTGAGATTTTCGGATTGTGGTTCAAAGCCAGCCTGAGAAGACAAACATAAGAAACTCTTATCTCCAATTAGCTGGCAAAAAGCCAGAAGTGGAGCTGTATTTCAAGTAGTAGAACACCAGCCTTGAGTGACATAGCTAAGGGACAGTACCCAGACCAGGCTCTGAGTTTAAGCCTAAGTACCAGCATAAGAAAGAGAAGGAAGGGAAGGGAAGGAAGAGAAGGGAAAGAAAGAAAGAGAAGAGAAAAAAGAAAGAAAGAGAGAGAAAAAGAGAGAGGGAAGGAAGGAAGGAAGGAAGGAAGGAAGGAAGGAAGGAAGGAAGAAGTCCAGGGTGAAAGAGTGAAAGTTGTCAAAATATATCTATCTAAACGAAAGACCAAGCAGAGACACCAAAGTTACACTTTCTCCTCGTACATTACCTTTTTTATTTACCTTTTCTATCCAAATTACTGTTAAAAATCCTCACTTCAGCAAATGCTATGCCTCTTAGCTACCCAAAAAGGAAAGGCAGCTGGTGGAGAAAATGGCTCCTCTAATGAGGTGTCTGGGGCACCAAGAAGAATTTCAGACATAGCTCTCCTAGCCATCAGTGGTCTGTGTGCCCTTCAACAAGACCCCTCAAAGCCACAGCTTCCTCATCTATAAAATAAGGCAATTGCACTCCATAATAGCAGCGGCCTCCTCCACCTCTGAAATGCGATAAAATGCCCCCAAACCCACAATTTTCAAAGAAATTAAGATGCGTCATGTACAGATAAAATACTTTTTAAAGTATAGGCCAGCCTAAAATTAATAGCAATGCAATATATAATCCTAGTAATATAATTAAAATATTATGATATTAATATGCACTCCGCCTTCAACCAGAATGGGAATTCAGAGTCACTGCCTCAGAGCTGTGTATTTGACTAGATAGAAGCCATGTTGACAGCTCTCTACTGAACGAAGAACGCATCCCTGTCTGATTTTTAAGGTCAGGAGATACATTCCTTCCATAACCCATTTATCTCGGGAGTGAATCTCTTTTCCAATACCCTAACATATTTTTCAGTGAGGTTGGAAGACATCATTCTTCTGAGTGATGTAAGATTGCATCTAGGATCTGTGACATGTCATTCGAGTTACACTTACCCATAAAATAAATCTCTGCACTTTCTTGCCAGTAGGCTCTACAGCTCTCAAAAGGATCCATGATAGTTTTATCTGGATGTTAGATTTCTACTTTTATTTTTATTTAACTACTTTATCAAAACTGGAAATTGGTAGTCCTGTGGAGTAGTTTTGTTAACAGTTTCTTTTATGGTTCTATATAAAATCAGGGCTGTTCTTCTGAACTTTATTATATATGTGTGCATATGTGTATGTATGTATATACATGTGTGTGTGTGTGTGTGATCTAGAAAATTTCCCCCACCTGAAAGCATAAAGATAGATAAAAAAGTGATGAGAAATACATTTTTTCTGATAACAACATAGGCCAAATCGCTCCTTGAATTTGATTGTTTCTACTGAGCTAGTTCAATAGAAGACTAAGCCTATGGGTCTATAAATGAGGGCGGTGTTTTTCCTCTAGTTCCTACTTGCTCAATGGAACAGCCTCACAAAGAACTGCTCTCTCTTTTCTCCTTTTCTTGGGGGGAAGGGTTCATGTTTGTGTAAGTCAACAAATCCTAGCTGCAAATGCTGAAGACATCACCTATCAAACATGAACGAGCCGTGGGCATGACAGCCCCAGATGGAAGACTAGCTTGAGCTCCATGAATTAGACATCAGCTGAGCTGTTTTCCTTTTTCTTGAAAGAATCGGCCATCATCAAAACTTGCAGAATGTGGAAGTATGAAATGTGACTTGTTCCGCCTAGAGGGGAATACTTTAGCCCTGTAGATCCACCAGACCGACATCCAGAGGCTTCACCGCTCGACATACTCTTGTTGGCCATTCTACTTTAGTGCCATGCTCAAAAGGAGAAAGAAGAAAGACAGACTTGCAGCCTGTGTCCATCTCTGGCCAGACACTGACCTCCCCCGGGCTCCTGACTTAACAGCTACTGTCTATTCCCCTCCACATAGCTGAGGGAAGGGAGACGGAAGGATGCTTAATTTATTCTGATTGACAATTGTCACTGGGGCCTTTGTGCTCACTTACGTAAGGGTTCGCTTAACTCTTGGTTAGACTGGCCCTTCTCCTATCTAGGATTACAGAATTGGGTTTCTCACCTGACCTGAACTGTGTTTGAGAGGATCGTGTCCACGTTCTTTTCCATGAGTACTTGTCCAGTGTTTGGAGACTCTAGATGCCTCTTCATTGAAACATCTAACTAGGCATGAGTACTAACTAACCTGCCTTTTGTCACCATGGTTCATAAAGCTTTTAGGCAGAAAGGAAAGAAGAGTAGGAAGGAAACGAGGGAGTCAGGGAAGTGAGAGGCAGGAGGAAAGATTCTTCTATCCACTAGTTTGAAAATTAGTATATAAAATTAAGACTGGAGTACAGTTTTAGAAAATGACTCATGTTTATGCTATCTAAAGTAAGACAAAGCTCCAGCTTTGTGTTTGATGAAAGAACAAGTTCAGGGAGAATAAAAAAAAGCAAAGGAGTCCATCAAACCGCCAATATTGTTGTAGAATAGATTTTTCCTCCACCATAATTTATTTCCTCTGCAAATCAGTAATTTCTACTTTGAAAGAAAACACAAGCATGTCTCCCACAACAAGAGAGCTAAAATTCCCACAGACAGAAATGAAGGTGTTTGTTTGAATCAACAGTGTCCATTTCTCCAGATGCCCACGGCATTCACTTGTGACCTTATATGGTTTGATCTTGGCACCTTCTATTTTTTGTTTATGAAATATTTATGTTTCCTATGAATTATTACATCACTTTAGGAGCAATTTAGAACTGAAGAGTTTGAAATAAGTTTGAAGCCCAGTGCTTAACGGTTGAAATAAAACCAAGGTCTCTGCCCTGTCTTCCTCTTTCTTATCCTTTGCTTTTTTAAACTTCTTTGTTAGACCGAGCCTGGCTGATAGAACCGAGGAAGGTCCAGAAGCTTCAGGAAAAAATTTATTTTGCACTTCAACATGTGATCCAGAAGAATCACCTGGATGATGAGACGTTGGCGAAGGTAGGTCCTTAGACCATAGAGTCCTGTCATCCCAAAGGCGGGGAATCAAGGGAAACTTGTTCTGGACAAGCAGAACTTGTCAGTATTAGCATTTCCCCAGAGTGACCAGAGCTGTGCCCTGGTATAGCGAGACGGAATTCCAATAGATGGTGGGACAAAGGGTTTGCTTAGAGTAGGGAACCAGATCTGAACCCAGGGCACAACAGAGGAATCCAAAGAACCACAAGTGTTTCATGGCCTCCCTAAAGCCTGAAGCAGGGAAAGAAGTCTTCAGAATGCATATGTGAGAAATCAGAGATTTGTGCCAATGCTGCAGCCAGGTATGGACAAACGTGAAGAGCCATCTGATTTTTATTCACAATTCAGAGGACGGATTCAATGCTAAGACTTGTGAGCAAAGCGGCAGTGAGTGTGTGAAGTAGTGACTTTCTTGTCACAGGCCGCATGCTAATAGATTCTGCCCGTCACTTCTCACGTATGTATAGAAACAATCCTACAGAGGCAGGATTGCACTGATGACTCACACATCTCCCTTCAGTTCTAATCTGCTCGTGATAGACTTGAGATGCTTTCAGCATGGTAAAGTATCCTAGAGCTTAATTCAAAGTGATACTCTCTCAAAAGAGGACAGGCTGGAGGTTGGTGTCTCACCCCTGTAATCTTAGCTACCCAGGAGGCTGAAATCTGAGGTTTCCAGTTCAAAACTAGCCTGGGCAGGAAAGTCCATGAGACCCTTATCTCCAGTTAATCATCAAAAGCAAGAAGTGGAGCCCTAATGGTAGCATGTGAACTTTAGGTGAAAAAACTAAGGGACTGTACCTGAGTTTGAACTCAAGTACTGGCACACACACACACACACACACACACACACACACAATACTGAGAAAAGTTATAATCAGAAAAGGAAGAAGTAATTGTCAATGGTTACTATTCAGCATTGTTTTAACTCTGAAAGGTTTTGATTTCGTAAGAACCAGAATGTTTTGAGGAACAACGTTGTTTTACGTTTTAAACTGTCTCTGATTTCTTAAGAACTGGATGTTTTTGAGGACCAGAGACTAAGAAATGAGTTTGTTCTTGGTTAAAGATAATAAGAATTCTACTTTATGTATTTTTATCATTAAGCTCTCCCACTCTTCCCTGGAGGTTCTTTATTTTAAAAGAGAGGGAGGGGAAAGACTTCATTTGAAGACATCATCAGATTTTACATTGCACATGTCCTGGACTGATATTTATTTTAAAAAACAACTCTCCAGGAGTTAAAAGTGCTGCTTCATTATGGCAATGTTTTGTTAAAATTAATGCAGCATTAGGAAGGACATTGCCACACTCACCATTCAGAAATCATTCTCAAAAAAGCCTGAAGTGGAGCTGTGGCTCAAGTAGTAGAGCACTTGCTTGGAGCAAAAAAAAAAAAAAAGAAGAAGAAGAAGAAGCTCAGGAACAGTGTCCAGGCCCAGAGTTCAAGTCTTAGGACTGGCAAAAAATAGAAAGAAAAAAAAAGCCAGGCACTGGTGGCTCACACCTGTAATCCTATCCAATTAACCACCAGAAAACCTGATGTGGTGCTGTGACTCAAATGGTAGAGCACTTGCCTTGAGCTGAAGAGCTCAAGCCCCATGACAGACAAAAATTAAACAACAACAACAAAAACACCTAACATAATCGTTGTATAAGGAGAAAAGCTTGATTTGGGCTTTAGGTCTCAACATTTTCAGTGCATACTCAGTTAGTTCCACTGCTTTTGGTGTTTTGTTTGTTTGCTTGTTTTTGCCTGCCGGTGCTGGGTCTTGAACTCAGGGCCTAGATTCTACAACTGGCACTTTACCACTTGAATCACACCTCCACTTCCAGCTTCTTAGTGGTGAATCAGAGATCAGGGTCTCATAGAGTTTCCGGTCTAGATTGGCTTTGAACTATGATCCTCAGATCTCAGTCTCCTGCATAGCTAAGTTACAGGTGTGAGCCACTGATGCCTGGCCTTGCTCCATGGTTGTGGGGTCTGTGGTGAAGCACAGCATCATGGTCAAGAGCGTATGATGGAACAAGGCTGCTGATCTCATGGCTGCCAGGAAGGAGAGAGAGAAAGAGAGAGAGAGAGAGAGAGAGAGAGAGAGAGAGAGGAGAAAAGAGCAAGAGTACAAATAGCCTCTTCAAAGGGCACAATCCCAATAACCCAACTTTCTTCCACTGGGCCATATTCCATAAAGGCTCTACCACCTCCTAACAGCACCTCAAGCTTCTGACCAAAGTTTAGCACACATATCCCCAGGGAACACTTAAAATGCAATTGATCAAAGATAAGCTCTCATCAAACTCTCAAAATCAGTAGTTTTATTTATGTGTGAAAGAAATTCTTCAGCCTTCCACAGATTCTCTCCTCTATTTAGAAATGCTTCTAGAACTTCATAGTCATGAAGTTTTTCTCCCTGATTGGATTTGACTGGTGATCTTTATCTGAGTAGCTACAATGACAGACTTGAAGGAAGTATCCTGGAGACTACGCTCCCAGGAACAAATTCAGAGACAATGTGAGCCTTGTGCTTGCTTCATCCTTCTGTCTATTTTACCTGTTCATGGTCAAATTGACCACTGGCAAAAGGATACTTCCCATACACACAGTTCTTGACATTAAAACTTATACCAAGCACAGGTATATCAATATGTCCTCATAACTACTCAAGAGACTGAGAATGAAGGATCGTAGGTAGAAGCCAACCAGGGAAAAAAGGTCTGTGGGACTCTTATCTCCAGTTAATCAGTAAAAAATAAAAAAAAGCAATAAGTGGAGGAGTAGCTCAAGTGGTAGAATGATGGCCTTGAGTGAAACACAAGGTCCTGAGTTTAAAACCCCAGGAACAGCACAAGAAGAAAGAAAGAAAGAAAGAAAGAAAGAAAGAAAGAAAGAAAGAAAAAGGAGGGAAGGAGGAAGGGAGGGGAGGGAGAGAAAGAAAGAGCAAGAGAAAGAAATGAAAGGAAGAAAGAGGTAGGAAGGAAGGAGGGAGGGAGGGAAGGAGGAAGGGAAGGAGGGAGGGAGGGGGAGGGAAAAGGAGGGAGAGGGAGGGGGAGGGAGAGAAAGAAAGAGAAAGAAATGAAAGGAAGAAAGAGGAAGGAAGGAAGGGAGGGAGGGAGAGAAGGAGGGAGGGAGGGAGGGAGGGAAAGAAAGAGAGAAAGAGAGATAAATCAAAGTTCATGTAGCAATACTTTATATTGTTACCTAAACTTTAACCTAGGAGGTTCTGAAGTGCAGTTATCCTATATCCATTACCTAGAAAGTTTCAGTTCCTCTTTATTAATCAGCTGATGTGTTTTGTTGTTTTGAGGGTACTGGGGACTAGGGAAAATCTATGGAAGCATCTAGCTTCCTGGTCTGCCTAATGATGATGCAAATGTTCAGAGTCACTTACGAGTTCAGAGCCCTGAACACAGGATTTAAACTGTGTCTTCATTTCCTCATTTGCACAGTATGACTTAAGCAAATGTGGTTACCTGGAGGACTAAATGTGATTTTAAAATGTATGAAAACTTCCCACTGGATAGGAGGAAGTAAATAAGTATCATTGCCTCATTAGAGAAATCGTTAGCGTTGACAGAAGTTTCTTTCTGTTAGGAAGGTGATCAATGGGGGCCAGCTCTGAAGGGTTTTCCAGGGAAGGGAGTTGGAAGGTTGAGGAGCTGAAGAATATGGAGATGGTTGGAGGCAGGAAGGAGACTCTACGGTAGATTCAGACTATAAATAATCATTTGGCTGGATTTGGGCTTGGAGGAGACAGGAAATGAGTTAACATTGGTCATTTTCCCTAAAGCTCTGGGAAAAAAATATATATATATATACGTCTATATTTTTAAGCCCCCTATGACTGGAGAGAGGCAGTCTGTCTGTTCTCTGGGCTTCATTTTTTTTTGTCTAGAAAGTGAGTGGGTTGGGCTGCCTGGTCTTTAAGGTCCCTTTTGTAGAACATTCTTTGATGTCAAAAACAACAACAACAAAAAAAAAGATTGCTTCTGACATCTTCTTTTGCCCTCCAATATTCAGTCCTGGGTGATTATTTTGAGGTCTCTTCTTTAGATGGTTTCCCATCATGATAAATGAAGAGAAAGTTTCACCTCCCCACACCTTACAGATTTAAATTAGAGGTAGTGCCCTGGGTCCCAGAGTCATGTAGTTGAAGGTACTCTCCATCCTCAAAGCTGCAAACGTGCGGTGTGGATTAAGCCTGGGAGAGCAGACCAGAGGTGCGCATGCCTGTGCTTCAGCACCTCATGCACCGAGAGCTGCCATAACTCCTTTTCATGGTGCTCTTTCTTCCCACAATGCTATTGGGGTAAAGCAAAGGGTGGGAGATGAGCAGGGAAGATGTAAACTATAAAGGCCGTGCAATGGTGTTTCACACTTGTAACCCTAGCTACTCAGGAGGTCTGAAGAATCAAGCTTCAAAGACAGCCTGGTCAGGAAAGTCTATGACATGCTTATCTCCAATTAATCATCAAAAAGCCAAAAGTAGAGCTGTGGCTCAAATGGTAGAGCTCCAGCCTTGAGCAGAAATAAAAAAAAAAAGCTAAGGGATAGCATGTAGGCCCTGAGTTCAAGTCCCAGTAAACACACACACACACAAACACACACACACACACACAGAACAGAAACTATGCCCTTCTGGTCGACCTGACTAATGGACCAGAAGAGGAAGTGATCAGCCCAGCCAGGACCCGGATGTAACCACGTACTCACAGCCAAGGCAAAGCTTGGATCTGTCTCTTGCTCTAAGGAGCATGTCACCAGCTCTTTTTCTGAGATAGTTTCTAAGTCAGCCTCCTACCTGGGGGAAAGTTTGATGTGGGATCCACCCCAGCCTCTCCTTTGGTGCCTCTTGGGGAATTAGAGTCATAAAATACATACTTATATTTACTTAGTCTACTTTTTCCAGCACTCCTGTCAATGGCTAGAACTTCTTGCCTAACGTTGTACTGAGAAGATTCATAAAAGCAAATTCTGGAACTAA